GCCAAAGTTGGATCCGCTCTTGTTTTGGTGTAAGTCTATAGTATACCTTCCCAGCGGCCAGATATCCATTGTTTTTCTGAATGATTTCATCCAATTTGCCAAATAAGAGCGGCAACTGTTCCTTCTTCAGTTCCCCAAGTTTGATTGCTTTTAATTTCTCATCAGGTTCATAATGCGCTGAGGCCGCTTCTGGAAATTTACATCTATGTTCGTGTTTATGTAATCTATACTTCTATACTAATATTATAAAGGGGGAGAATTGGCATTTATGTATAACGAGCTGTTGCCCGCGACTTCGTCCGCGTGGTATTCGAAAACATACAAACTATATAAATTACAAAAAGCTACGTATATCGGGAACCGGACATTTCTCGGAGATGAAGCTTATCCCATGTGTACTCCAGACTTTGTTTTATATCTGTGCCAAATTTCAATAAGATATGTTGAACCGTTGCGGAATGACCGAGTAAACATTAAAAAACTAAATTAATGAATGCCACGAGAACCGTAACTATTCCCGGGATAAAAAGTAGCCTATGTGTTCTTCCAGACTATGTTCTAAAACTGTGCCAAATTTCATAGAGATCCGTTCAGCCGTTTAGGCTACAAACGCAAACAAACATCCATCCATGCATCTAAATTTTCGCATTTATAATATTAGTAAGAAGTAAGATTAAATAACTCAAAAACTACTGAGCCGATTTCAAAAATTCTAAACCATTAAAAAGCTATAATATCAGTGGGTAACTAAGGATATATATAGATTCAACCATTACATAGCTTTAGATTGGATTTAACAGATAACTGTCCTTAGTCAACGCACTAATATAAACGCGAAAGTTTAGATGGATGTTAGAGTTTGTAGCCTAAACTGTTGAACGAATCTCGGACGAATTTAACATAGATGTAGAGGATAGTCTGGAAGCACACGTAGTCTGCTTACATTAATTTATTCCTCGCGGACGAAAGTACATAACACCAAGTTTTACACTAAGCTAAACAAAAACTGGAGTAACTTAGTGGAATCAGCCCTTAATTAATTACTTACTCGAGCGTACGTCGTTAAAGAAGTCTAAGTTCTGATCGATGATGAGATCCTCTTCGATGTCAGAGCCAGAAAGACCGTATTTACGGCCGAGGTAACGGCAGATAGCTACTGACTGTGCGTACTGTTTCCCATCGATCTTTACCATTGGTAGTTGACCGAATGGCGTCTCTGGAAGACGACACGAAAATAGAACCTCGATAAGTCCAAGGGAAACACGAAATGTTTCAAGTTATAGAGGTTTTATGTTATCAAGGGTCTATGTTGTAGAGGTGGGCTCTGGTGGGAAGGGGATATATAATTATTTGAAGTTATAGAGGTTTTTTAGTTACCGAGGTTTGAGTTATCGAGGTTCTACTGTATTTTAAAACGAAAGAAAGTTTTTGAAGGTTAGTATGGTATGGGCATGTTATGAGAAGTGATGAATCGCATGACAAGGACGTTATGAAAATGGAGGTACACCGGTAGAGGTAGACGTAGAAAGAGATGGATAGGTTGCGTGAAAGGTGACATGATCAATAAGGGAGTGATTGGGATGACGTATGGTAGAGTTATTTGGAGGACGAAAACTCGGTGCGCCGATACTACAGGAGTAGGATAAGGCAGAGGAGATGATAAAAAGAAAGTTTTTAGAATACAAATGCTGAGATTTAAAAGGCAACATTATTTTTTTTATATCTATGGTGTTTATAGCGAGTACTTCAGTCTTTCCTCTTCATGATAAATCTAATTTAAATAAGATTCTTTATAAAAAAAATAAAAGGTAATAAAAGAGTAATAAGCAATCTGTTGCAATTTACTTCTACTCGAACGGGACGAAAAAAATCTTATATTTTCAGTGTTTCAAAGGTAAATTAACAACGCATACAAACTTGGTTTCAACTCGGCCCATTGTTCCTTCTCCAATCGGACGTCTTCGAACTCCTGACCGCCGTACGCCAGCAACATACGTATTCCTTCTCCTAGACCCTTCGTGTTGAAATACGTTACTGTCACCTTCGGCATTGTTCTGAAACGACCAAGTATATCTCTAATGTTTGTCTATTATTTTAAGTTGAATGTTGGTTAGAGTAGCTTAAACTGTTAAACGGATCTCAATGGCACAAATGTAGAGGATAGTCTGGAAGAATACGAAGGCTACTTTATTTTTTAATTCTCCGCGGAAGAAGACGCAGGCGTAAGCTAGTTATTATCATAAATGAATGTATGTCAGGATGTTTATTATTTAATTGCGTACAATTAACAATTTTTTAATCTTTATGTAAATAGATAAGTAGGTGAAAAAGGAAAAGGGAGTAAAATTAGGCCTCCGGCACCACACTCCTCAGACGAAACGCGGAATTGCTACCACTTTACGCCTGTTTTCTGTGTGGTCGTGGTATTACACCGGGCGAGCCGGCCCGTGTGTGCGAAGATGTTAAAGCGGGCACTACCACTGTCAGAATTCCACTTCCTAATTACGTAATGAACATTCATATATAATTAAAAATGTCAATGTTTTTAAAAACCTTACTCCGTGGTACAATACTCGTAATCTAGAACTCAAGTATTATCAACAAATATTCATTGTTCTTCATATCTAATCAAATAGGCAAGACAAATACTTCAATACATGGGCGTTGACAGCTGACGATGTAAAGGAGGGGCAGGCCCATTATCAACAGCGGTCAAGACGAGCAAGGGGGCGATTGTAGTAAAAATATATTTCTTATCTTATTTCTTACTAATATTACAAATCCGAAGGTTTAGATGGATAGATATATGTTAGAGTTTGTAGCTTAAACTTTTGAACTGATCTCGATAAACTTTGGATATATCATATGTAGAGGATAGATTGGAAAAACACATAAGCTACTCACTTTTGGTTTGTTTAATTCCACGCGGACGGAGTCGCGGGCAAAAGCTAGTATAAAAATATGTGTGGTTTGTTATCGATGTCAGAAACAGTGAGGTTAGTTGCCGATAAACTTAAAAGAGACACTGTTTTTGACCGACTTCCCAAAAGAAGGAGATACTTAATTCGTCTGTGTGCTTTTTTTATATTTTTTTGTCGTGTTTTTATCTGCAGTTATATGTTTTGATGACACATATTTCGTGGAAAGTACAGTACAAGAGGTGGGTTCTCTAAGATATCTTATCTTGAGAATAGAGACACACAAGTAGAATTCTGTTCTGTAATAAATGTTAAACAACTAGATGACGTTCGGTCTTTATTAGGTTTTAATTTGTTTTTTTTTTAAATTCCATGAATTAAAAAAAAAGTAGCCTATGTGTTCTTTCAAATTATTTAATACATCAGAGCTATTCAGGGAATTTCGTTAAGCCGTTCATAAAATTCGTAGTAACATATCTAAACTTTCGAATTTATAATATTAATAAGATATGGTAAGATTGTAAAAAACACCTTTTCAACCCAAGTCTTGTATAATCTTATAATCTTATACCTACATTTAATTGAAAATATACGTAGGTTAAAATTAAGCAGCTATTGGTTAGTTTGTCAATTAGTACTTTTTCTAGTTTGGGGAAGTTTGAGGGTACATTTTAATGCAGTAAAAGTTATGCATATTAGGGTAATGTCATTACTGTATTGGATAGCGAAAATAACAATAATTATCAAGTTTACTTTTAAAGCCAACAGACAGTTTTTTTTATGCCTGATGTGTTCTAGAATATCTCTAGATTTTAAAAGTAACTTTTATATGTTAAATAATATAACGGTAATAGGGGAACATTTCCTCAAACTTTTTAACATTTTATAAATAACAAATCAAAGGTCAGATCAACAAAACTAAATCCGGGCGGTTATTCCAATTGAATAATAGAACGACGCGCCGGCCGGTTAAATAATTTTAAATTGCTGGAACAAAATGAAAACTGTTGTACCTATGTTATACTTTAAAATATTTTTGTAACCATTATAGTTGAGATACAGACGAATAATAGATTTAAAATACAAAATACTTACAAAAGATTACAAATACTGTCTTAAATGCAACGTTACCAACACAACGCAGATGTGAAACTGTAAAACCGCGCCAACAACAACTGTCGGAGTCCGGAATCAGTAGTACCAACCGTACCAGCTAGTAACAAACAAGCGGCTGGCCAATGTTGTCCATGTTATGAGTGTGCGCGTGACCTTGAATTTCATATTTGTCACAGAGTACATACAATGCAGAGAGTAATCTTTTAATTTTTTTATAATCCTACGCTGGTGAAGTCTCGGGCAGCTGGTAATTACACGAAATTATTATAAACTTAGTGGTTTGCGTTTTTTGGTCTTCATTAGATGAGAATATTACGCAGCAGTTTTCAAAAGACGATAATTATATTAAATAATGATACAGAAGACTACATCATCATTCTGTACGCAGACAGTTTAACTGCATTCATATTCTGACATACAGCGCTATTTAGTGGGCATAAAAATAGTTTGCGTTGCCAAGCCTCCAAGATCAAGGTCGACATTGCGTAGCCCTCATTTCCGCCGTACCCAAAATTGATGAATAACAATCGGATACGGTTGATTTATTTATTATACAGAAGTTCTAGGGAAGTAACTCACTTGGATTTCAGACAAGTATAGTGACAACACCTCCCTCGCAAAAGTTTATATCATTTGTTATATCAATTGAGAGTATATTTTCATGCAGATGGAGAAAATCGACACAGTGTAAATAGCACGGAACTAGAAAGATAGCTAATTTCGTGATATTAGTTATCCTACATTCCAGTGTTACTGTTTACAGTTACGATTAGAAGTCTGTATGTAAGATTCGATTAAACCATGCTTTCGTGCATATCTGATGTTGCGATTTATTGAAGATCTGTGGGAAAAAGTAAGACGAAGGCGAAGAGTACAGGAATACATTTAATAAAAGGTAATTTATAAAAAAGTTATAAAAACCAATATAAATTTTTTACTTGTTGAACACGTAAAAACTATATTTCAATAGAAAAATCTGTATTAATATCAACTGATTAAAATAAGAAAGTATTAAAATATAATCACATGAATCTTCTTCTTCTTTTAAATATACAAAATTTTCAATTAAATATACAAGGATAAATTATAAATCTGTCTTAGGCGCGGAATCACAGAATTCCTTAACTTTGGGCAGGGAGCGCACAGTGTCCCTCAACTTCGAGAAGCTGGGATACTTCTCATCCAAGTCAGGTAGATGTGTGAACATTCTAAGGGCATCGTACACACCGGCAAACACGAAATCCGCCCATGTTAACTGAAATAAGACAGTTTTATATACAAACACATTGTTAGAGAAATTGTAAGAAAAGTGCTTTGTCAGTGGACAATTTTAGTTGACATAACAACAAAACAGTATGTTTTGTTTTAAAACTGTTTACACTTAATCTCTGTTTTGTAATTTTCAAACATAAATTGTGTGATATGTAATCGGTAATCGTCTATGACCTTTACAAAATGAAATAGTTGTAACCGTGAGTTGCAATTTTAGAGTTCCAAATATTGAAAATAATATGGTGAGGCGGTTATTTGTAGTCTCCGAATCCTTGTAAACAATAGCCGCAATACATTTAAGATAGTTGTGAGTACACGTACAGAACAAAGGTGTTCCTTTTACTAACCTGTTGCTCGCGACTTTGTGCCCGCAAGATAAAAAACAAATACAGCCAATGTAACTTACTGATAAAGTATCTTTTGAATGGACAAAGAATTTTTGAAATAAGTACAGTAGTTTTTAAGCTATTTTAACACATATAAAAATACAAATCTTTATAATATTAGCACATAAACAATTTGATTGAGATTTTAATACGATAATATGTTGAATCATGCAAAAAAAATTAAAAAGTATTTGTACCCTGAAAATGTGATAATATAACTAAATACTTACTCTCCCGACAGCTAAAAAGCCATTGTTCTCTTTTATCATCTGATCCAATTTGCTGAACAAGACGGGGAAATGGTTCTTTTTAAGGTCCTCTAGCTTATCGGCTTTTACCTTCTCATCGGACTCGTAATTTGCTGCCACAGTCTCTTCAATGAAAAATGTAGTTATTAGAAAGAGATTCCGTTATAAACTTGCGTCTTATTTAAAAACAGAAATACCCTTAGTGAGTATTATGGGGATAACACACCTTACCTCACATCAATGAGCAATTCATAAATCATAGAAAATAGTCCATCGTCATCTAAAACGGTCCACAGACGTAGGTATTCACGTACTCCTTCAGCTGTATAGGGTACTTTGCTTTTAGCAACTAAGGCCTTCTGAAGTTGTCATATTATTATACTACCTAGTAAGCACCACTAACTAGAGAAATAAAACTCACTCAAACGGATATCGTTAAAGAAGTCCAGGTTCTGGTCGATGATTAGGTCCTCTTCAGGGGTGGTCCCGGCCAGGCCGTATTTTCGGCCAAGGTAACGACAGATGGCAATGCTTTGTGCGTACTGCTTGCCATCAATCTCGAGCATCGGCAGCTGACCGAATGGCGTCTCTAAGAGGAAAGACAACTATTATAAATAGTATATTCAAGTGTACAAATTGAAGTTATTCGAAATGAATAGAAATCATGAACTGAATTAAACTAGAAGACAGAATTTTACTAACTAGGTTTTAATTCTGGCCAGTTATCTCTCTCGACACGGATGTCTTCGAATTCTTGTCCTCCGTACGCCAGCAACATGCGTATGCCCTCGCCCAGCGCCTTCACGTTGAAGTACGTTACTTTCACTTTCGCCATTTTCTGAATGAAATATTAATAATACATGAAACAGAAACTAAATAAACCACAGCCTGGTGAAATTTAATAAGTATCTGTAAACAATAGTAGATAGTAAACCTAATAGTTACGTATTACTATTCCACAAAAGGGTCTTATTCCTTTAAAGATTTTGTATAAATGGTTAAAACATCTTAATTGCGCAAGGTTTTATACCCTTTTATTTGTTGTTAGGTCAGTAACACCTGGATATTTCCATCGTTATCGTAGGATTTATCTCATTGTTTACAGTTCTTTGTCAATAGTAACAATGTTTTTCATATCTTATATGGTAACGTACTGATATAGAAATTAAATATTTACTTAAACTTGTTTCAATTCAAGTCATATAAATTCAATATTTATGGGACAGTTTCTCGGTCAATGGCCTCAAGGCAACGAGAGTCAATTTCTGAGCGAACATATTAAGCTTGTAATAAGAAAAAAGATATTTTAATATTGTAATAATATGATTTTAAGACGTAAATCAATGTGTTTTAAGTTTTAAAACTTCAAATTCAAAGAGGAGAAATGAATTATTCATTAAAATCAATAAACGGCATTCACATGAAGAAAAATAATATTATTGAATTACTATCAAACTATTTAATTATCTATTGTACCTTTAATCGTAATAAAGTAATAATGGGACCTGAGAAATTAAATAAATTAACTTACGAATTACTATGGATAATTTGTGTTACGTTCGATGCGTCTTACTGGTCTGCCAACACACTAATCGACTGACCGTATGTTGGAATTTGAACAGTTTTGTATCTCAGCGAAGCCTTGAGCATTTTACATTTTACAAAGAGTAAAATTATCGCACAGTAGCGATACACAGGTAGCCACACTATTTTACTTGCGCTTTATCGTATGTTCAAACAAACTCGTATAATAATGTAAACATCGGGATAATTTAAATCGTAGAAAAGATTACTGTAAACACTTCCGTTATCAGTGACTAAGTTTCGAATGTTAAGATTTTTAATTTAGTTAGAAGACCTAGTGTCATTTGATTTGATTAACAATCAGGTCTCTCATCATGCACAGAGAAGATGAACGTTGCACTTGCATTTGCTTTTTTTGTTACATTTTGTAAAGTCTGTTTATTACTACTCTGTGTGTCATCGAGATATTTTTTCCTTTTCCAGCAAGTATATTTTATTTACACTGTTCGAGAGGTTGTTTTCTTTGACAATAAAAGACATTTTAGAAAACAAAACAATGAAGTAAGTTAAATTTTTATCATGACGATCGAAATTAAGAATCCTATCGTGAATTCCTCTGACAATTTAAAATACGTATTTGCTGTTTCTATTTTGTTTTTTTTAAAGGAAATAAGTGATATAGCAATATTTGTTTTTATTAAAGTTTTTCGATATTGAAAAAGTGATATTATAATAATGTTTAGCATTTTTATCTTTCTATGCTAAGGTCCTGACAAAAACAAATAGCAATTTTTATTAGTTTTGTAACTGCTTGTAGATTTGTCAGGAAAAGTTATATTCTAATCTTGATGTTAAAGTCAATTAAGTTTATCAGAATTATTGATTTGAAAACTCTGAATTGCGATTAACCATATCGATAAGCGCCAAGATGGCGAAAATCGAATAGTCACAAAATACTCCTGTTTATAGCCTGTCCATTTATAAAGGTCAGTGGCCATATGAGTGTCGCCACTGTGGATACATTTATGGTCCTAGAGCACATTCTACACATTGATTTTAATTGAATATTGCCAGTAGACACATCAAATACAATAAAAAAACTGTTGTTCTGTGGTTCCAATTGTTGCGTATTGTTTGTATTTAAAACGTCAAAGTAAACGCAGGAGTCGGGTTAGTCTAGAATCTACATACTTTTGGATTGTATTGCCAATATTAGTCGCGTCCAATCTATTTTTAGCACATAAAGCCTATCTGTTGGCTGGAAACAACGTTGTTTCAGTTAATTTAACGAAAGTATTAGTAAATAAAGTAAAAGCAAGCATGCATTCGTGGTAATCAGGGTAGGCAGAGATATTTTATTGTTGGTTATTAGATTTGGCGCGATTTTATCATAGTTATCTATGTGTCAGTTGCCGGTTACAGGTATTTTGTTAAAATCTTTTTAATTTTATTGTCATCCTAAAATCAATTTTTTATATTTAGAAAAATGTATATAAAATTTTACCTATTAAATTTTTAATTCTACTGGAAAAGAGCGGGCGCACAGCTTTGACTAAATTGTCGCATAACAGTTGTGCGATTGTCGATTGTTTTGCAGCCCATTCAACTGTTTAGTTGTACAACTAATGAATCTATTAGTGTGCACACCTCAATATAAGCTCATAGGAATTAAAAGGACACTAAAGAGTTGTGCAGTATTTTTTTTTTCGCGCGTTACAAACGTAACTTTGTTATTATGTCTGTGGGTTTGGTTGTATGTAAATTTCATTGCACGTAATAAAGCCTGTCATTTGAGTTGCCCTTTTCCCCGGAGTGTATACGGAATATCGGCTCCTACGTTTCGGAAATACCACTTACGACTTTTTTCGTTTATTAACAATTCGTATACTCGTATTTTGTCCTGTTCTATCAGAATCAGATTGAAAAATAAAAAAACGTCGTATTTATTAGTGCATTAAGTGTAGCGTTTTAATATACAGTCAATAGATGGCACTATTTCTTAGAGCCTCTCGGCAGAATATTGGAACGAATCTTAAACACATAGCTTCACAATTACCATTTGTAACCAGACCTACGTCAATATTCGGCCGTCCGTCAATTTAGATTTTTTTTTTAAATTAGGGTATATTTATAGACCTATAAGGATCTTAGGATACTTTTTTGACATTTGTAACGGTACGCTTGCTAGTTTTTAGAGCAACAATGTTGCAAACAATGCCAATCTATACTTCTATATCTATACTAATACTTAAATCTTAAAAATAAAAAGAAACTTTGGAATCCCGTACAATTCTTTACTCAAATCTTCCCCCTAATTCATTTTTAAATGTACGATTAAGATTTAATAAGTATAAATTGCTACAATTAGCTAGTTTGGAAACATACGCGTTGTGAATCGTTTAAGGCAATTCAAGAGGGCGTGAGGTTAAATGGTGAACGCAACATGATGGCATTTTGCCAAACATTCCACTGTACATAATATTTGGCCTACTATAGTGTGTCAAAATAAGTTAGATCAGTTTGACAATACACTTCAAATTTAGTAGGGATGTTGTGTAAAATCAGTTATGAATCTTATCGATTTTCGATTTTTATCCTTAAAGAATTTGTTATCGATAGATTCATATTTATAACTTAAGAATTAAAAAAAAAATTACTGTTTTCTCAAATTAATAATCACCATAACAAATAATGAGAGTAAATAAATGTTTATTACTACTACAGCCGTACGTAATCGAATTGGATTTCGCTATTCTTTCTGTCATCGCTAAATTCTTTACACTATAATCAATACTAGAATTGTCCTATAAATTAATTAATAAGATTATAATAATTTTAGTCGAGTTCGATAATTATTTAAACCTAATATCGATAGTTCAAAATTGTTCATTATGCGTGTTTGTTTCGTCACTACGATACCTGTCTATTAAGTATGGCATTTACCTTCATAGAAATTGAATTCGATACTTCATATGCGTCATTTATCAAACTAATTTATTTTGTTTAGACTAACTATAACAAGTAATCAATTCATACAACAACAGATTATTTAAGGATAATATAAATCTGCAAATACAAACCAAAGACTATTCAACCCAGAAGGTCCAACTGTATAACTAGGAATCGGTACAAAAAATATGCAAATCACTCGAAACGTGTCAGCATAGATGGCGTTGTTTATAATCTTTGAGTTTTGCAAGTAATGATGAAGATTGTGTCGATTTAAATAACCTTAAAAAATATATTTTTATCAGTTATTGATAAGTATGCGAAGTTAAATTTAATCTTATATTTGAATGTAGATGAGGATTGTATTTAAAAGAGTCTGAGTACCGTAGAGTAAAGTACCTATAAGTTTGCTAAGAAATATATGCGGTGGGTATTTTGTTGTTATTTCAAAAAAATATTTTTGAATTGCTTTTATTATAGTAAACCAAATAAAAAAAAACTTATTATTCTTATTTCATACGAACCATGTAAGTCATGTGTTAAGCCTGTGTTGTACTAAATTAAATTAATGATATTTAGACCCCTTTTTCACTAGAGCGACTACACATTACGTCCAGAGACATAAAACACAAAGCAAAATTTGGATGTGTTTTGACATTAAATTTCAATCAATTCGGTTTTTTGCTTGCTTAAATGTATTCTTACTTTATTCTTATTCGATTCTTATCGATATCTTGGATCGAGTTTCCTCGTGTTATTTTTTTATAGCATTTGTAGTCTTTTAACGTACTGTTGGTTGAATTATTATTCATATGACCTTGTCTTATGTGTCTTCAATTTCATATTAAAGCGAATAAGTTTGTGTTTAAAATAGCTAGAATTTGTTAATATAAATCTTTTTCATTTCAGAGAAAATGTAAGCTAGAAATAAATAATAAATTCAAGAGAATACGGAATAAAATGTTTTAATTGTACAAAGAGGTATAACAGTGTTTAAAAAAAACTTAGGTAAAGTGGCAAACGTAGTGACAATGGGAGAAAAAGACAGTGAACGAAATGAGAAGGAGGTAGAGATAATAGAGACGATGGAGAAGTTCGGCAGATATCAGATGCTGCAGTACTTCTTGATATGTCTGCCAGCGGTCATCGTCACCATGCTCAATGTCAACTATGTCTTCGTCGCTGGGGAGATCAACTACAGGTATTTGTCATTTTTTAATATCGTTTTAAACATGACGGTTGGACTTTGGACTTTTGTACAAAATCATTATCGTTTATTATCGATACGTTTATATTTTAATAGGTTTCTCTTGTTCTTAACATGGCAAATCAAATGCCTATTTTGAATTACCTATTTTGATGTGTAAGTGTTTTTTATATTACAATTTGCCTCTTGTAATCCTGTAATGGTTCCAGATGTCGTATACCAGAATGTGATGGTCAGTATCCGGTGTACAACACGACGTGGTGGCCCAACACGCACACTGACAGGTGCACGAGGCCGCTGCTCAAGCAGCCGCCAGCCGGAGTGTGCACCAATGACAGTTTCTCTGACGAAGTCGCGGTCTGCACAGAATGGGTCTACGAAAGTAATGACACTGTTATTGCTGAGGTAAACTATTATATTAAAGTGACTTTATATCCATATTATATTAAGAAAATCGCGCTAACTTATAAAAAAAATATTTGATACAGTTATTTATGTAAACTGCATATAGCTTCTACTCTCTAACTATTATGCTTGTGTTTAAACTCTTTTATCGAAGGCTGTGGTAATAAAATAGAACCAATTAGGGCCATAATCATAAAATGATATCATATCTAGCTTTCCGTCGCAACTCCATTAAGCGGTTTTTTGGATACGCAGTAACAATCATCAATCTAAACTTTTACTGTCTTTATATTAGTAAGAAGTAAGATACTGAATTGACGATCTTTTAATATATTTCCAACACTATCGATTCCATAGCTTCCTTCTCTAAGAATCAGCTAGATTTAAGGAACATAAAAGGCATTTGTATACGTTTGTTTTATAGCATTACGTATTTTTATGCCTTATCAGTTACAATCAGTTTGGTAAAGTCTGCGTCAGCCGTCGGACTCACGGACGGCTGTAATCAAACTGCGATAAAGCTAACGGAAGTTTACGTTAAGATTAGAATTTTTGTACTCGTGGTCTATGAGCATCTTTGGCAATACTGGTGTAATACACTTTCAACCTATGAACCCGCTACTGAACGCCCATGCACGGTCCGTCCCCAACGGGATCCTGGACTTTGAGAAAGATTGAATCATCGCATCGTCTGTTCTTTGTACTACTAAGTCAACACTAGAAATCTATACTAATATAAAGAATTGTATTTTTGTATGTAAAACAAACAATTTTTAGGTCGATTTAAAAAAATATTTCACCATTAAAAGCTACTTTATCGCTGAGTAGCAGAGGCAATCATTTCACGTGGATTTAGTCGCGAGCAAAAGCTAGTATATAAGTTGGTCTACATTTCAGCTGGACCTCGGATGTCAGCCGTGGAAGTTAAATCTAATCGGTACAATTCACAACATTGGCACATCCCTAGCGATGATGGCTTCCGGATGGTTGTCTGATAGGTATTGTTTTAACTCTTTTCATATTTATAAACTGAACCCTGTTACCATTATTTAATACTAAATGCTTACCGTATCTTTCAACTCTTTAATCTTTTATAGATTCGGTCGTATGCCAACAGTAATTATGTGCTCTGTGGGAAGCTGCGTCGGTCTGTTAAAGATCTTTACATCCTCTTATCCTGTATATGTATTGATAGAAATGCTAGAAGCAACAATCGCAGGTGGATCATACACCGCTGGGATGGTATTAAGTAAGTAAAACTACTAAAGGACCAGAGGACCAGAGGAGAGTTCTAAGATAGTCATGGTTTTTGGTACTTCTTTAAAGATTTTGTTCAGAACTCATGATTCTACATTTGTTTTCAGTGATAGAAATCGGTGGAATAAAGAACAGAGTTCTAGCAGGAGTTATATTCGCTTACGCTGTTTACGTAGGAGAGACTTTATACGCTGTTTTTGCGATGTTCCTACCATATTGGAAACATCTCGTTGCAGCCATTTACAGTCCTGCAATAGCATTTATACTACTAATATTTGTCATTAAAGAAAGTCCTCGATGGCAATTACTAAATGATCAAACGGAAAGTGCTAAGAAAACTCTATTAAAAGTAGCAAAAGTCAACAAAGTAAATATTGACAAAGAGAAGTTGCTTAATATGAGTGCAGAGGATTTGAAAAAGGAGTATAACATTGGCAGTTATGAAGAGAGAGAAAGTTTTATGGCTATATTTAAATCTAGAGAGATGATTAAAAGAGCATTAGTCGCTGCGTTTTGTAATTTCACCGCCGGCTTCGTGTATTACGGCTTGATGATAAACTCTGTGTTTTTGCCTGGCAACAAATACACTAACTTTATGTTGGCAACTGTCATGTCGTATCCTGGCGAGCTGATATCTTTGTACTTAATGAATAAAATCGGAAGGAAATTTCCGTTGATATTCGGGTACTTATTGTGCGGTGTGCTTTGTACTGCGACAGGATTGGTACCTGAAGGTATAACTAGTATATTACCATTATAATTGTTTACGAATTTTAATGCATCAGATATGATTTGTGGAAGAGCTTTGATCATTTTAATAGAATTTCTTTTATTATCTTGCATATTAAATAATGGTTGTAATTACTTTTACAGCATACACTTTGCTTAAAATAATCTTATTCCTCATGGGTAAGTTGATAGTATCAGTGTGTTTCACCGGAGTGATCACGTATACAATGGAGTTGTTCCCCACGAGTGTGAGAGGAACAATGCTGGGCGTATGCTCCGTCAGTGCGGGCATAGGCAGTATGGTCGCTCCTTTAACCCCTATACTGGTAAGTTCAGTGAAATTATTTAAATGAGCCTAAAATGTTGATGAGATTTCAAGTTTTTTAAGTGTAATTATTTTATGGTAATCAAGCGAGTAGACATGTTTTTTTTTAATTTTTAAATTAGCGCCATCTTTCTTAATGGGAGCAGACTAAAATAACCAGTAGAATAGCCAGTGTTTTTTTTATACTACAATAAAAAAACTAACTATTAGGCCGTTATTAATTACGGAAAATAAATATAATTTTAATTAAATAGTAGTATTAAAAATCCAGTGTTACGATTGCACATTGCTTTGTATGAGATTGGTTATCTGTATTTGTATCTCATCTATGATTTTAATATTGAAATTTTAAATTACAGAATTCAGTGTCCATCGTTCTTCCACCAATAATATTTGGTTTGACAGCAATAATATCCGGTTTACTTCTCATAAAAACACCGGAGACAAAAGATGCGCCATTAATGGATACGATACAACAAGTCGATTTAGCGCAGTCGTTGATCCCAAAGAAAATAAAAAGGGTACAAAATGGAACCACTTACGAATTCAATAAAAATAGTAACGATTGAGTTATGTTTTTCAATTCACGTCTTGGATGACATCCTTTAAAACACCTGTGCAATACATTGTCACTCTTTCTCATTGTCAACAAAAACAATAAGTGTTCAGGTGCGTTGGTAGTCGCAGTGCTAAGCACAAAACGCTTCTTTATTGTGGTTTTTAATCTGTTAAAGTGTTTTATTCATTGCTATTTCCTAGTGAAAATCTGTTATGACTGTCGAAGTTTTTTTTTATAACATAAGGTGGCAAACGAATAAGCGGCCATCTGAATCCGCCAAAATAGCGAAGCGACCGCTGCCCGTAGACATCCGCAATTGCAGATGTGTTGCCTATCCCTATCCGACGGAGGAGGAGACGCACATAAAGAGGATACTTCCCTTTCCTATGCATCTCCTCCACCGTCAAATCCACTTCCTCTTCCCATCCTCTCCTTATAAGAAAAGGGTGGTAAAGGGAAAGAGACTTAAATTAAGCCTCCGGCAAAACACTCATCAGACGAAACACGGAATTGCTTCTATTTCACGCCTATCTTCTGTGTGGTCATTGTATTACACCGGGCGTGCCGGCCCATTCGTGCTAAGATGTTAAAGCGGGCTCTACCACTGTTAAAAATAGAACTCTGACGCTGAATGCAAATACAGCTAAAACTAAAAAAGGTCATGTAAAAATAGTGTAGTAGTAGTTTTCAACCATTCGACCTCAATATCTTATGGAGTATTTAGCAGTATATGCTAGACTGGCATCAAATATTATCTCAGTAGAGACTAGTAGTAGTACAGAGACTAACCGTTAAATGGACAATTTCCAGTGTGACGAACAAATAATTTTAAAAATCTACTCAATTCATATTTAAACACATGACTACTAAAAAAATATTTTTTTGCTACATAAAGCTCAGTCGAAATTGGGTTAAGGCGAAAAGTATCTTAAAACTTGTCATTTTTTAACTCAATTTACGCAGATATATAAAAGGGTTATTTTTAGATGAAAATTAAAAATCAAAAATTTGCTCATTCATAACATATTTTATTTTAATTAAATTAGATGGCACTGTCCTCAATCTTTTAAAGAAGTTACGATAATCTTCTTCATATACTCGTAAAATACGTTAAAAATGGTGTTATCAGTTCATGATAAGTATGTCAAGTTTAATTTGATCTTACATTTGGAAGAAGGTTAAAAAAATTGTTTAAAAAGTCTTAGTCACGTACCAGTGTTCATATATGTAATTATGTTGAAAATTGAAGTATTACGATAAAATTATATTATTTCTAGATTATTCCGTAGTTTGAAATTAAAGAAACATTTAGTCGTTTAGAATTTAGATGAACCACACATAAAATATCTTAAAGCACGTGTTTTAACTCACTTCATTATTAAAAATTAATTTAATCTATTAAGCCCCCTTTTCACTAGAGCAACTAGCTATTGCTTCAACGCAATTTAACTTATAGAGAAGCCCCGGATTTTCAATTTTATTAGGCGGAACAAAAAATTAAAAATTAAAGAGTTTTACTAATTTATTTGAAAATTTTGCACAAAAAATCACGTATCCATTCCCGCTCTTTTAGTGTCTATTATTTTACAAAATACGTTGTCACGTAATGGATGGATAATTCCGAAATTTCTAGAACATCTAGGGCTCGGAAAAAAACGTCACAAGCTGAACGCTTACTAATATATTTTGTACTTACTATTCTGTGGGCCGATCGTGCCTATCGCTCGTTCCGTGCTCTCGCTTACACGCCTGGCGCAGACGGAACGTGACAATGTGCCCATTTTTTTGTGCGTACAGCCAGCGTCCTACGTTATCACGTCAAAAATAAATTCAAGGACGTTCATCAGTCATACGCAGCACAGAACAGAATTTGAAATAAAAATATTTGTAACAAAAATATGTAAATAGATTAGGGAGTTTTCGATTATAGTTTTGTCTCTTTCACACGTATTGTAACCAGACGCGTGTTGCCGCCATCTGCGATTCCTGCGGGCTAGTGTGCGCGAATTTTGAACGATGCCTACGCGCATCGCGAATATACGTGCAGCGCGTCTCATTCCGCGCTCTCGCCGCGTCCGGTCGCGTGGTGTGTGTGTACCCTAGGTAACGGTCGCGTGGATATGGCCACATTAAAACAAGAGTGAATCAGCATTTGTAATATTATTTATTCTTTATATGTAAAGTGTGAATTTATCCGCCCTCTGAACTTGCCGCGCGGACAAAGACCCCGGCTGCCCCCCTCCCAATATTCGGAGTTCAGACACGAACGGTTCGTGGCACAGTAAGACGGTACAAGTTAGAAAGTGTGTGACAGTTTTAAGCATCAACTGAAACCCGTTTTACTTGCTTAAGTTTTTTGCTCACTTGGTTTTTGTTCGGTTCAAATCTTTGCAAGTTTCACTTAAGTTATTTGCTATTCAGTTTTTTTCGTCGATTACCATACGACGAATTATTATTCAAATGGCCTTCTTACCTTCATTATCGTATTTTACCAAATAATGTTGTGTTTTAAGTACAGTGTATATTTAAAATAACGTTTTATAATTCTAGTAAAATCAGTTTCATATTATTTTTTAAAACTATAATGAATATAAGTGAATATAAAGAAGAAATTCCGAGTGCTAAGAGATATTAAGAAAGAAGCGTTTTGGTTGAACAAAGAGGTGTATAACAGTGTTTATAAAAACTTACGTAAAGCAAACGTGTGACAATGGAAGGAAAAGACAGTGAACGTAATGAGAAAGAGAAGGTAGAGATAATAGAGACGATGGAGAAGTTCGGCAGATATCAGATGCTGCAGTACTTCTTGATATGTCTACCAGCTGCTGTGGTCACCATATTCAATGTTAACTACGTTTTTGTCGCTGGAGATATCAATTATAGGTATTTATTTTAGTTTTATTAGACACTAGTTATCGCCCGGGACTCCGTCATGGATTATAAAAAAGAAAGTGAGTATCCTATGTGTTCTCTTCAACTTACCTCTACATCTATGCCAATTCATCATTCATCGAGATTCGTTCAGCCACAAACTCTAACAAACATCCATCCATCCAAACTTTCTCATTTATAATATTAGTAAGATTTTTATGTTCCATATAACCAATAGTTTTGATGGGTGGGAAATAAAGACAATGGTTCACAATTCAAGACAATGGTTCAAGTCGAAGTTGAATGTATTTTTTGCTTTGACACGTCGTGTAAAAGATTATTCATATTCCAGACGTGTCAACTTAAACGCATATTTAAAAAAAAAAAAACTATCACGATGTTAAATTTGCAGTGGATTTCGAAGTATTGAATCTGAAGCTAGGAAAGTTTTAACTATTCTTACTTACTAATGTTATAAATGCGAAAGTTTAGATGGATGGATGTTTGTTAGTGAGCCTAAACGGCTGAACCGATTTGGATGAAATTTGGTGTACATGTAGACGATAGTCTGGAAGAACACATAGGCTACTCACGTTTGGTTTTTAATTCCACGTGGACGGAGTCGCGAGCGAAAGCTAGTTAAATGTAAAATAAAAAATAAAAATAGGCACTTAAAATGGAACATTAATCAATACATAATAATGTAATTAATTGTTAAATGTTACAGATGTCGTATACCAGAATGTGATGGTCAGTATCCGGTGTACAACACGACGTGGTGGCCCAACACGCACACTGACAGGTGCACGAGGCCGCTGCTCAAGCAGCCGGCAGCCGGAGTGTGCACCAATAACAGTTTCTCTGACGAAGTCGCGGTCTGCACAGAATGGGTTTACGAAACTAACAACACCGTTGTTGCTGAGGTAAGTAAATAAAAAAAATACGCGTGCATGTTAAAAATATTAACGTAGTCTTTCTTGCGATTGAAAAACATTGTCTTAGTTTAACCTTAGTAAGTGTTTAGTCTTCATATCTATCATTAGACCAATTTTGTCTCAGTATTTCGTCATTAGACATGATTCCTTATCACGTTTACTGCGGCAAGTAAAATCATAATTGTTCAACTGGTGCGGCGGGCCGAAATCCGCCCCCAAAGATATTTCCGCCAATGCTTGGCAGGTCTTTTTAGACCCACCAGCACTAGGGTAAATTAAATTGCTATAACTTTGTGAAATTCAATGTAATATATAAACCTTAGATAATCGTTTCACACTAGCGAGAGAGACATAGTTTTTTTCATCCGCACCATCTCAAGTACCACGTCAGGGCGATATCGGCCTGTTACGCAGTGGCCGTGATAATGGTTAAGCCAATCAGTCACTAAAATTATCATTAATTACATTAACCCGATAATTATCTCAAAAATAATAATAAATAATCGTAAAAATATCGTTCCGTAAAATCTCAATACACGAGTAGAGTTTTGAATAATAACTGTTGGTTTTAACCTAAATTTCTCTCAGTAATGTTGCTTAAAATTGGTCTCTGCATTCCAGTTGGATCTCGGTTGTCAGCCGTGGAAGATAAATCTAATCGGTACAATGCACAACATTGGCATGTCGCTCGCAATGATGGCGTCTGGATGGCTGTGTGATAGGTATGGATTACAATATAACGACAAAAATAAACAGAAGACCAGTTAACTTATGAAAACATTCGTAAGACATACTAAATTAATTACAAAAACACGACTTAACTCACGTGAACAATTCAATATAGGTTCCGACAGTTTCGAACCTGTTGGGGGTCCTTCATCAGGGTGAGGGATAAGTCGGGTATGTTCGTTATCGCTGTCGCTATATAGTGGCGTTGTTATTGTTTACAATACTGTGAACAAAACACCACCACTTCAGTATCGAGTTCAACTTCGCCGAC